TTCTTTTTTGAACTTGACTGCAAACTCTTTTTTGCATCTTTATTATCTATTTTTTAGCTTTTTTTTCTATACATTTACTATGACATTTTAGATTTACCATTTCTAAAATGAGATTCTTTCTTATAAGGCCAGCACAAAAGCTTAGAATATCTAGACTAGTTGTAGAGGTCTGTTCCACTAGTCTAGAAATTCACTTGTCAAACTCTCCTAGTTCTTTCTGATCATCAATATTTTGTCTATTACTTTTTTCCTTGGTTTTCTTTTTTCATTCTTGTAGAAGTTGTTTAAAGTTTCTAAGAGTTCTATCTATTCTTTTATTCTATGCTTTTTGAAGTTGATTCTTATAGGCTGAATATTTTAGTAAGTGTTCTATTGTTTTATTCTGTTGGTTATATGCAATACACTTTACTTGCTTATATAGATCAGGTCTTCTTGTAGCCAATTTACATAATTTGATAGCTTATTATTGGTTAGTTTAATGAGAAAGCTTTTTTGTTGTGATTTTTTGAAAGATGTATCCTATGTATGACTATCTTTTATTCTTTTCTACACTAGATTCTATATGTGATCTTGCTGTTCTAAAATCTAATGACTCCATTTTTTCTCCATTCAGTTTTGCTGGATTCACTGATATGCAATTGTTTTGTGGTTTATATTTTTGATAAATTGTCTAATTGAATCATCTAAGGTCATATTTTGTCACCTGATCTCTGTAATGATCTTGTGGGAGTTAAGATCTTTCTATTTGATTGATGAAAGTTTTAGAACTTCTTTGGCTAAAGCATCTGTTTTTTTTATTATAAGGGTTATTGTAATGTGATTTAACCTTGATAAGCTTCAGGTTTACTGTTTTTTCTTTGTTAGCTCTACCATTTATGCCCATAGAAACTAATTTTTTTCTTTTAATCATCTCTTGTATGTTCTTTTTGGATTCTCCATTTCCATCTTTTTCCATTTAGTAAACAAGTCTAGTTATTTATACAAATCTTAACTGTACTATTAATAGAAACTACTAGGAGTATGGTTAGAATTGCTACCAACTCAGCTCTTATAAAAGATAGCCAATTATCTACTTCTGTTTGGAATCTACTTTCTCTTCCAGTATTTTTTATCTGAATCTATGCAACATCCATTCTTATTTCTTCTTTGATATAACTGATTGATAATTCATCAGAATAAAAGATTGGCTTTTCCCTTTTTCAAGGTTTTCTTCCAGGCCTATTGCTCCTTTCTCTACCAAACCATTCCATCAATCCCATGGTATATCAAATCTTCTCTCTGGACAAGTTAGTGGACTTAACTCATGAAAAAGAATACTTGATAATATCATCATTACCCAAACTCAAGAGGAACAACTATGTGACTTCCTTTTGTTTTAACCATCTCTCAAACTCCATCAAAAACTGTGGTTAGCTTACCCCTCTAAAAGATCAACACAAGCTAATCATGCCTTATTAAAATCAAGACCCCTAGTAAGGAAAGACTCATGGCCTATATCCCAATCCATCCACTCTTCTAGCTCAGGATATCTCAATATAGTACTCCGCTTAAATGAAAATCAGCCCAACGGGACTAATCCAATATCACAGGTGATGACAAAGAATGCAAAATGCCCCCTTCCAAGATCTTAATAAAAAATATCTCTGGGAATATCAAAGGGTAAAATCAAATCTTACTGGGTACATAATATATAGCCTAGTTTAGTGAATATAATATAAAAATTTATAAAGCTCACTGCTAGAGTAGCCTGTTTCACCATTTATAACTATATATTTAATTATCTGACCCCTAGCTGGGTCTGCCTATTCACAGAGTAGTAGTAGGTTCACCTAGAAAAAACCACGATAGGTTACCATTAATCTGCATATATATAGAAATATATAGTTTGTATGAAATGATTGATGTTTAGCCTAAAGAATTTCAATATTCAAGATGTTAAGTTAATGCTTAATAAAATGCACTTGCATCTAATACCAGTTGCAGTTTCAAAAAAAAAAAAGGTTTGGCTTTTCTTTGAATTTTAGATTGCATTGAAATATTTCTATTAACTAATCTAAATATATTCCTTCTTTAATATTTTTTCTGATTGTAGTTTCTTCTCAAGTTTCTATATCCATATTCATAGCCAATAGATATGCATTTAATGGAATAAACCCAGAATCAAATTTATAATCAACATGATAGTAGTGTAATTCAACCATACTCAAATATATAAGGGTGAATGATACATTTTACAAAGGAAAAACTTTATTTGGTAATACTGTATTAACTATATCATTGAAAATTGATATGATACAACTTGTTTTAATAATAGATATGTAAATACAATTATATTAGAAACTCTCTGATCCAATTGTCAGATCACGTGATGTTGTAATAAGCTGTCACAATCTATGAAATAAAATTTAATTGTGTTGGTATTGCCATCTAATTTTTCAATATATTTTATAATTGAGTGTTGATTCATATGCATATGGCATGGATAGGGATTGAATTTATCTATTTGATTATTTGATCAAATAAAGATCTACAAATAATTTATTATTCATTAAATTATTTAATTATTCGATTAATTCAATTTATTATTCAAGACTTATAAAATATATTTATTTAATTATTAGATTACAATTCCAAAAAAATATTATTAACTAAGCTATTATTTCTTTTTAAAAAAAGAATTTGCTCAAATACATATGGTTTAAGATTAGTACATCTCATTGTTATAATATTTCTTATATCCAAAAATAACCATTTGCTAGGTGCTGATGTGGCAAATATTGAAAGATATTTATGGACAAGTTTTGAAATATTTGAAAATCTTTCTTGATTATTAACCCATCAAAGAAAAGGATTGGAAGTTGGTGAAATTTCTGATTGAGCAAGATAATTGGTTATTTTATCGGTTTATGAATAATGTGATTGAAACATTTGCATAATAAGTAAATTTTCTTTTTTAGGTAATTGTTGGGAATTGTTACTAAGATCTAAGTGTGAATTCATAATTAAATTTTTTAAAATATCAATTGTTTCTTTTTTTTTGAATTGAAAATAAAATTAAGTGATTTGCAATGAGGATCTAGTAATGCTACCATAAGATCAATTTTTGAAGGAATAGAATAATAATGAAGTAAACTTGCATATAATGTATTTTTAATTCAATCTAAAAGCCCTTCATAATCTTGAGATATATTAATAGAAATTTTGCGAGATCCTATTATAATTGTTTCATCTATTTCTTCTGTTATATCTTTATAATTAATATCATTATCAAATATGATTGTATTTGTTATAAAATCGGTAGGTTCCATATTATTTGCATTTGATTTAAAATTATTAATTAATATTGTAATAGCATGAAAATTAAAATTAATCATTGAATAGTTGCTTCCTTCTAAAAATTCTGTTAATTCGGCAAAAGGTTGTAATATAGATAGAATTTTTTTAATCATATCCCATTCAATTGTTGTTAAGTTGATTTTTTTAAGTCGTTTTGCATCACATTTTGAGTCAGAATTATTTTTGGCTTCAAGTAAACTAATTATTATATTAATAGCATGTTGTAATTTTATTAATTGACTCCATGCAAGATAAGATAAGTTCCATCATATCTTAACATCTGCAATAACTCGTAAATAATGATCTGTCTAATATAAAACTTGATCATTAGAAATATTCATACTTTTTTGCATTTGTTCTAATTTTTCATTTTGTTTTGGTGTCATAAAAAAACAGATCAATCGTTTGGCACGTGCAACAAGTACTTCACATGGAACAAGACCTTTCCAACTATAAGTTGTAATATATGAGCTGTACATGGTAATCTAATTATTTCAGGTAAAAGTTTAATCATTTTAATCATGTTGCTTCTATTATCAGTAGTAATGCAGAATACTTATTTGCTTAAATTCCATTCTTTAATAATTTCGCTAATTAAATTTGCAATTGTTTTTCCGGTATGTGGATAAGCCATGTATTTAATTGCCAAAAGTATTTCATGTAACTTAAAATCTTTATTTAAATATGAACAGGTAATTTCTAAATATCCTTGTTTTGAATGTGCTGTCCATAAATCTGTTGTTAATAAACAAAAATAAAGAGAATCTGATAATTCATCAATAAGATATTGCTTAGTGTGAACAAATGTCTCTGATATCATTATTTTTACTGCCTTGTCTAAAGGAATCTTGTAATTAGGATTCAAATCTTTAACTAAATCAATAAAACTTTTGTCATTTAAAATTAAAAAAGGTTGTTGACTTTTAATTATAAAGTTTACTAATTCGTAATTTAATCTTTTTTTTCGCACAGGATCCTGTTCCACGATGTTATTTTGTTGTTCATATTTGTTTGCTATTGTATTGTCTTTACTAAAGATTCCATGTATTGTTTTTAAATGATATCAAAAATTACTTGTTGAATTTCCTGCATTTAGATTTAAAGCTTTTCCACATATTCGATATCCATTATCAAATATTTTTACTTGACATGTTGCTTTTCCTTCAATTTCATTTCTTTTGAAATAATTCCAAACTTGACTTGTAGAAAGACAAGAAGAATTGCTTGTTGTAGTAATTAATGTTGTATTAGGTTCAGAAGCATTTGTTTCGGCAATAATTGTATCCAACGAAGTAATTGAAGTTGAAGGTGATGATGGTGATAAAACATTATCTGATGGGTTGAGTTTTGATCGTTTTGGTGATTTTGGTGAAATTGATATAACTTGTAATTCATTAGTTAAATCATCATTATTATTGTCTTGTAATTCATTATCATTATGTTCGTATATACTTCGTTTATTCATTTGAAATAGAGTAAAAGAATATTTAATATTTTTATTCGCTCTTTTGTTATTTATTATTTTTGTTTATTTATTGTAGAATTATTATAGTATACAATCGATTTAATCAATCAAATAAAGTTATTTTCGCTTATTTATTATAGAATTATTATAGAGTATAATTATTGTAAGATTATTATAGTATATAATCGATTTATTCTATTTAATCGTAATAGCGACGTAATAACTCTTCACCAACCAGCCTCTCCCGATCTGTTAAAAATTCACGATATTTTCTAGGATCTTCCTTCCTCTCTATTCCACTACGATAGAACCGTATATCCCTCTTCAAGTCCTCATGAAAACATTCTCCATCCCATCTTTTTTTCTCGGCCTCAGTAATGACCGCAAATTTCTCGGGATTCATTCCATGTTTAATGTCATACTGATAAAGACAATTTTTGTTTGGATGAGTTGATGAACGAGGTTCTGTTTCTCGAGGTTTGTTTGACACACTTTCCTGCGAACCCTGTATGGCGATTATAACTTTCTTTTGTTCAATACGAAATGGACAATTAAGAAAATAGTGATTATCTTTACCTAGACAGCTCCAATAATCCCATATGCCTCGATGTGTATGCACCTCTTTACATATTGGGCATTTAGCTTCTGAATCGGTATATTTAAATACATCCCGGTGCCATGCGTTTGAATTAGTGTATGATAAGAAGGGAAAACGTGCTTCATGGATTGTGCTTTTTTCTTTTGGAAACTTAGAAATTTTGATAACACAATCTTGTGAAAAGTAATTATCTGTCTTTTCGATTTGTGGGAATTCAGAAGATTCAGACTTTATCCAGGGATCGAGCCCAGTCTCTTCCGTGTATGCTCTATATAAGATCAAACGAATTTTATCAGTTATAGAACTTGGTACTTCAAACAATTTAGCATACCAGTCCAAATATTCAGGGGTTAAGGCACGAAGTGTCATTTCTCCGAAATTGGCTTTATCCATATTATTGTTTTATACAACCACAAATTCAAATTAAGTATGAGTCGTACATAGAAACAGAGCTAAGTCAAAATAACCGCTTATTATTATGGAATAATGAATAGAATACAGTGTCTTTGTCTCACTTATATATTGAGGATATTCAGAAATAACAATTAAAAAGAATGGATATAGGTAATACTTTGACGATTTTACAATTTATGCTGCCATTTTGATTTCATGCTTTCCACATACAATAAAATAAGACCTGGTATCATATCTACCTTTTACACTTTTTCCACCTTCATGATCTAGTTTACATACTGGGCATAATGACCCCTCAATAATTCCATAATAATCAAATTTTTCAGTAATAAATGTTTTATATAGATCAGAATATCGCAACAATGTTTCATTACGAAAGTAAGCATGGTCATGAATTGGATTGGATGATACACTCACCTCGGTCGATTCCTCTGAAATCGTTTCTGATAATTTTTCCAGTGATACCTTCTCAGAAAATGCATTTAACTCAGTTTCTGGTAAAGTACTTACAATTTCGGTTGTATGATTTTGGCGACGGGCTGTCGTTGAAATTTCAGTCATGTGATTTTATTCCTCTATATTGAACTCATCACAATCAGAAATACTATCGATAATCTTGGTCAACTCTGAAATAGAATTTGCGCTATATGCTTTAAGATACTTAATTTGATCCATGCCTATTTTTTCGAATAATTTATAAGTCCTTACGGCCTTTTGGGTCTTTTTGCATAAAGTTTTACGCGAAATTTCTGGGAGCTGTAATCCCATTTCCTTGGATCTTCCTTCACGGATATTAAGGTGCTCCAATATTTTATCATAAATTATACCTTTAGCTTTTTTCTCGCCAATTTTGCCATTACTATTTTTTATAAGATCATTATACTGAATTATGAATTCTTTTCCATAGTTAACCCAGCATAAGGTTTCTTCCTGGTTAGCTTTTGTAGCATAATATTCAGCATTTGTTGCTTTATCAAATAATTGTGCCAAGTCGAGTAATGAGATTGTAGAATAATTTTGACGTCACATGATTTGAGGAAGCGAAGCTTTGAGTCTCCGACTCATCTGAAATAACACTATCCTGAATGCCATCAACTATCACCTGGGCGATATTTTCTGTTCCCTTTTTCTTGTGCGATTGAGATGTTTTGTCCTGGCTTTTATGTTGATTCTGATCCCAAAGCCTTTTCACAGTTTTCGGGTCCAGAGATTCAGGCGTCGACATGGTTGACGTTTCGGATTGAGTTGAGTTATTATGTGATCCTTGAAGTTTTTTTTTCCGGTTTCTTTCCCTTATCTCACTACTAATCCTTTCCTTGTGTATTGTTTCTAGAAATTCGAGGGCCTCGGCTGAATCATCGATAATATCTTGTGGTAACGAGGTCGTAGATGTTTCAGGCTCCATCGAAGATTTAGATTGGGTTGAGCTATATTCTGTCTCAGGCAAGAGATAGGTAACACCTTTCTCCTCATAAGGATGGCTTTCGATAAATGGGGAAATATCTTTTGTAGATGCTTCCTGTTCATTAGTAGTTGCCTGGGTCTGTTTCTGTTCCAATTTCGTGATTCTATCTTTAAGCTCAGAATTTTCTTCTGCAGTCTGTTCCAATTTCGCGACTCTAGTCTTAAGCTCAGCATTTTCTTTGGTGGTCTGTTCTAACCCACGATTCTGGCCTCGATTTCTTCTTTATCTTGTTTCAATTTTGTATTCTCGGCCTTGACCTCAGCGTTCTCCTTTCTAAGCTCGGAAATTGTGGCAATGAGTTGAGAATTTAATTCTTGCAACGAATCGATTTTTGATTGAGCAGATTGAGATTCAAGCTCTGATGACATGTTTTGTTAACAACTTTTATATAAGGTTCAGATTATCGAGTTTAAAAATCATGTATGAGCGTTCTTTTTCGGAACGCCAATCACTTTTGCAAAGAAAAAGAAAAAGAAAATATTGAGTAAAAAATGATTTCTTTATTATGAATAAAATCTAAACGAGACGTAAAAATACGTGTATAGATACATGTGATTTTTTTTTCTAATCTAACCTAACTCTTCTGTGAGATTGCTCGACGACTTATGCTTTTTTATTACTTTCGATTGCTCTCCGCCTTGTGAAACTCCCACCGGTTTCTGTGCCTCCTC